ATACCTTTCATGCTCTGGGAGGGGATATTGGGAAGCCAAGGGTCCTCCCTAATTAAGCTTCACCTCTCAGCCCTTCACCGCAAATGCCAAAGGGGCCCTAGGGAGAAGCTCTCTGTAGGTTCTGATGCCATCCTATCATAGACTTTTGGAGACCCCTTCCCAGGTTCAAAAAGAAAAAGATCCAAGGGAAGTCCACGACCTCAACAGTGTCTTTCTTCCTAATTAAGACATATTCCTCCCATGCATGAAAGTCATTCCTTGATGCCTCACGGACAAACTGGCATCAAACAAAGCTGTTTGTGCCAAATGGTTCAGCCTACATGAATTCCCTCCATTGAGGATCTGGTTGGGTATAAAGGTTACTACTTGTCCACAGAACCCAAACTGCACACTCAAGGTGTGTCACCTAGAATGGTCCACACTAAAGGAATATCACCCTAGAAGTAGCCTTAGAACTCATCCAAGCCAAGCTCCTGCTTTTGCAGATAATGCAAGCTGAGAGCCCAGAAAGAGGAAATGACTTTTTTTTTTTTTAGAAGATGACTGGTAAGGGGATCTTAACCCTTGACTTGGTGTTGTCAGCACCACACTCTCCCAAGTGAGCTAACCGGCCATCCCTATATGGGATCTGAACTCGTGGCCTTGGTGTTATCAGCACCACATTCTCCCAAGTGAGCCACGGGCCGGCCCTAGGAAATGACTTTTGATGGATCAGTGGCAGGACGGGGCTAGAACCTACAATTCTTTATCATGACTTGGTTTTTGAGACACTGACTTGTGGCTCACATCAGATCACACCAGGGGGGAGGTCTTTGGAACAAAGGCCTATCACATTGGGACCCCTGAAACATGGCTTTAATACGGGTGGGATGGTCTGGATAAACCCTCAATGGGTGAAGCCCAAGATGGGATCTCTAAATAAGCCAAGGCCTATCTAGAGGTACCTGCCCAGTTCCTGCTCATCTCCAGCCAGGCTGCTCTAGTAAGGACAATGCTTCAGATGGCTCTAAGACCAATATGGGATTCTCTTCCGGTGAAGAACATGCCACACTTCTGCTCTAGTTCCTTATTAATAGCCCCAAGTAAACTCTCCAAGACAGAAATGTAGATGGCCTATGTCATAAAAGCCTGCTTCCACAGAAGCACACCAGGCCAAAACGTAGCTAAAGGCAAATAGCTGAAAAAAATTCACTCCTGGATTTGGAACTCAAAGAAACCTCTGTCACTTGTCTGGGGCTAGCCAAAGGTAGAGCAAAGTAAACTTGATGAGAAAGGATAATAGGAAAAGAAATCGAGGCCTCGGTGGGGGAAGGATACAAACGTTTGTTAACTGTTGAGTAGTACTTCTTTACATGAGCTCATTTGTTCTTTCCAACAATCCTGTGAATGAGGTGCCATTATCATAATACTACCAACGAGGAAATTCAAGTTTCTGAAGGACTACTCCACTCTCTTTGGGTGAGATATCCTGAAGATGCCTTGACAGATAGAATTTTGCATCTTTGCTTGGGAAGAGTCATGCTAAGCTTTTTAATGATGTAGAAAGCATCTAACACTCCTTGCCACCATTCCATACCCTGTTGTGCATCTGATGTTAATATTTTATTTGGTTCTTTATGTCTGCTCTCTACCCATTTATATCCATGACTGTGAGATTAATTTTTGTCATAAAGCATTATGAGCAACAGATAACTAAATAAATATCTTTTGATGGCATCTAAAAATGTCAAATTTACCACTTTTTTCATGCTTCAACTTGCCCTTCCATGTGCCTGCATAGGAAAGAAATTAACTTTTAGAAACAAGAGAATATGGAGGCCGGCCCGTGGCTCACTCAGGAGAGTATGGTGCTGATAACACCAAGGCCATGGGTTTGGATCCCATATAGGGATGGCTGGTTGGCTCACTGGGAGAGCGTGGTGCTGACAACACCAAGTCAAGGGTTAAGATTCCCTTAACAGTCATCTTTTTTTTTTAAAAAAAAAAAAGAGAGAGAGAGAGTATGGGTCTCTTGTGTTTAATTTTCATGGACTATCCCCTTTCCTTAAACTGGGGATGGTGGGGAGGGCAAGAGTAGGTATTCCCTGAAAGGTCCAACAGGCCCAAGGTACCTTTGCTTCCTAACAGAGCTCTATTAGAACAGACAAGGCCTGGAGCACTGATAAATAGACTGGAAATAAGAATATTCTGCATTAAACAGGCCCTGCAGACCATTTTTTCTCTTGTTTTTATCACATTATGAAGTAGATATCATACCAATATCATTTGTTTGACTACAGCTTCTGGCAGTACAGCCACCACACTTGATTACATATCCCCCTTTCCATGTCTGCTTCCCTCTACCAGCCTAATCTTCTTGAGGGGGTCTTAGCCTCACATACCTGACTCCTGGGAATATCTGAGAGCCAAAGTAAGGCCAGGAGGTATGCATGTTTCTACCACATGGTTTACTTCACTTAGCCATCACAGGAACCCTTTGGGGTGTTACTCTGTTTTTACAGTAAGGGCCACAAAATTAGGAAACGGTAGACCCAGGATTCAAACCCAGGTCTCCTTACTTGAGATCTAGTACTTTTCCCAACACAGCTGCAAGAGCCTTCGGTGTTCAGTTGGATGTACCATCCGATGAGGCACATGTGCCTTTACTTATCTCAGCTGGTCCCGTTTACCAAAAGGGAAGCCCTTCTATGGCGAGGCCTACGGATCACCTGAGGACAATAATATTCTCCATAGGGTTTCTCTGCAGATCACCTGTGAATTTATGAGCTAAATACTCTGAAAAAACAACTAGATGTTATGCAAATATGAGCTAGACATGATAACAACTAAAAGATTATGGATTTTTTCTATGAAAAACTATGAGAAAATAGCCTTGCCAAGTGAACACAGACTAAAAGGAGACAAAATATTCCCTTTAAGCTTTTGATATAGCAATAAGTTCAAAGTACCCTCAACTTCGATTGTTCATGAATCTAAAAGGAAAGACTATTGGGCTGAGCCTGGCTGAGCCTGCTGGCAGGTCACCATGTGCAGCTTATAACCGGCTAAGAATGAAGCTTTGTGTTCCTGGAAAACAGATGCTTGTGAATCCACCTGCGCTGCTCCTGAGTCCTTCTTAAGCAGATGTTCCCAATGGAAGGATCAGGATCACCTGGGCAACTGTTTTCCTAACTACACCAGTAGAGTCTGATACTCCTGAGATGAGCGGAAGAAGGAAAAAAAAATTATTCTGCAAATAGCTACTGGGGTGATTCTGGCCGTACCTCCCTCTCCTGGCCTGGTTGAGAGCTGCAGCTTGTAAGTGAAGTTGCTGTCCCCACTCAGTTGGGGCTTATTTTTCCACCTACTTTGGGGCCTCAAATCAAATCATAATTTCTTTTTGTCTGTGGGTGGGGGCCAGTGTTCTGCTTGTAGGTGGCTAAAAGCATGGAGCTAAATATCTGGCTTCTTTTGCACATTGTCGTTCTGATTAACTGAAAATTCTAAGTAATGAAATCCAACCCAACAGCTATCTGGGCCTCATGGGGAAATAGGCAGCCCTGGTCTGACAAACAGGTATGGTTCTTACCTATACAGACAACAAACTGAGGCAGATTAGAACCACAGGGCCAGAAAGGGCGCAAGCTAGGATTTTTTTTAACACCTGGCTAAATCACCCTCCCTTTGAACATATAAGAGAACTAAAGTACGAAGATGTTAGAGCAGTATCCCTCAACCTAACCTACATCACAATTACCTATGACACTTTACTGATGTCCAGGTCCAGACCCCACAGACAGTCTGATTCAATAGCTCTGGGGTGAAGTTTTATGCCTTTGTGATTCTGGGGTGCTATGTTAAAGTGACTGGCCTAGGGTCACTGCAGGGCAAAGCCTGGACAGAACCCGGGTCTATGGTCTTCTTTCCCACTATATCATTATGTTTCTCTAAAGAAAATGAGTTTAAATTGTATTAATTACCCACTATTTAGGGCACTCTGAGAAGCACCCTAACTACAAAACTTTTCCTAATAAATTGACCACTGCTGACAATTAAGTCCACACCTCTTCCGATTGCGAGGGCTTTCATGCCTTCTCTAACACGAGAGGCCTGGGGGCTAGTTAAGGAAGAGCTTAGAGGCTTAAGCAGACCAAGATCTGAAAGAGTCCTTTCACTGGGGGTGGGGGAACTGCAGGCTACAGTTCCAGTTATAAGGATGGTGCCTGCCCTGTTCCCCCAACAAAATTAAAATGAACATGTTTTGCCCTCTGCTGTCACTCAAGCCTCTCACTAGAGACTGGTGGGATCAGGAACATGACTGTATCAGGCCCAAAAGAATCAGTTTCCAGAACAATACCTTGGCAGGCCCTAGCATATTAAGGGGCAGGTAGGGTAAGGTTTTATAAAGTCTAGGAATGAGCCAGGCTATTAATTATATTCTCGGGCATCCAGCCTCACCGGATATATGTCTGTGCCTTCAGCTAGTGAACTGTCCTATTAATATGCCAATTGGGGGGACTTTTACCATCAGGTTAGGCCCCCACTTCTCTTGAAAACATAAACAAAACACACTGGATTAGACTCAATACAAATGCACTGAACCCATATGGATTCACACTGTGCTGCCACATGATCAGCTTTATAACCATCCTTCCTTTCAGAGTCTCCCCCAAGCAAGTGGATCACAAACAAGCACACCGTATTATTAAGATCCGCATTACAACCTGCCTCTTATTACTGAGTAATCTGGCGAATGGTATGCCTTAGTACCATGTGTGGGCTGTTACTCAGCGCTCCCGCATTTCTAGAAAGCTCTCTTGTCTACTGCTCCTAACTCACTGGAACACGTGAGCCAAGCAGACAGGCACGAGTATTCCCACTGCTCACCTTCAGCTAGTGCCAAATGGCTACAGTCCTAACCCTTGGAAATGCCATGTTTGATGGGGGAGATTATTGGACTTTCAAATAAAAACCAAGGTCAGACCCCCGGGAAAAGTAAAAATAAAACACTGGACTTCATACACGTTTCATATACATATTTATATATATTTCATGTACAAAGTTACATTCCGAACCCCAGGGATTCCATAATAGAAATAAATACTGAAATAACTACATCGCTAAACGAGCTTTTTGCTCATAGAAATGAAGCCTCAGCCTCTAAGAGACAGCAAGTAAGACGCTCTAGAACCCATTTTTCAGATTATGAAGGCAAGTAAAATTCTGGATAAAATGTCTAGGACAAAAAACAAATTTAGAACATAAAATGGTTAAAATATATTCGAATATTGAAAAATGTATGACAAAATTAATAAAACAATTTTTTAAGAGAAAGAAAAAGACATTTAGTGTTACAGAATAGCATAACCCTGTTAGAAAAGCATTTATAATTTCCACAGTTAATTTTCTCTTACTCTTCCCATGTTACAAAGTGGGACCAAATGAGTCCCTTTCTCAACATGATCAATTAAGAAGAGCCCTAAATCTGGTTGAGTCCTTTGGTAACGGTTATAATACTCACAAGGAAATAAATATTCAGTTTCACGGCATTTGCAAGACACACGTTCTTTAGAACAGTTAATATTATGAGACATTTTGTTTTGTTTTGTTACTAAGGCAGCCTATGTTAAAGGGCCCAGTCTCAAATGTAAGAAGGCCTTTACAAGAAAAGAACAATACAGCTACTGAGAGAATGTATTTTAACTTTTTCTGTGCAAACACAATTTGGAAAGTTATGTGCTGCATATTTTGTGCTCAAAATGTTTTACACTCTCAACAAGCTGCAGCTACTAAGACATTCATTCGTGTTTAAAAAATTTAGATCCACATGAGTTAGAGAAAAACACTCTCAAAAATGAGTTTTGAGTGGATATTCTCCTTTTGCCTTACAGAGATTTTAACCTGCATTTAATACTAGTAGGTTGAGGCATATGATATTGCCATTTCTGCAGACCAGCAATGATCAAACACTGGTAATTTCATATGGTTCAACCTCAATACATGGCCCCAGGTAAGAAAATGAGAATCCTCACGTACCCCTTATTTCTTCCAACAGGGGCAAAACTTATTTTACATGGAGAGACCGACCCAAAGTACTCAAGTATCTTCTCTGCCCTTGATGTGGTAGCTACAGGCAGTTTATACCACTTTGCTGATAGCATGAAGATTACATTTTGGCATTTTCTTCCAAAGGTTACCACCTTGACCAAAATGAACATTACAAAAATATAAACATTTTAAACTAAAATTAAAAACGTATGGACAAGGCTTTAACACAAATTGTACAGGCGTTTTTGTCCTCTCTGGTCCCTGAAGTTAATCAACAGGGCCACAGATAATCTGACATCTTTAGATAAAATAACTACATATCTATATTCCTTATGTTAAAGCCGGTAAGTTTAAAAAGAGGAATTACAACCACTGTAACATGTCTGCATTTTTCATCTGTAACTCCTGATTTCCTAAATTACATTTGGTCTTACAAATGTGTAAAAGGCTGAACAACGGCAAATAGGGGCTGACTCTGGGATTTACTTCTTGGGAATAAAATTCCCAAACCCTTTGGTGCCTCTTGTGAATTTATACATTTCCAATAAATGTTTAGTAATTTTTTTTTTTTTAGGTATTGCCAAAATGGCTCTGATTTAAAATAAAAAATAAGAACATAGCATACCAGCTACGAAAAAGTGGCCTAAGTTTTGGTGCCTTGAAGAAAAGTGACTAAGTAGCTCAAGCAAAAAATTATTCTTTTAATACAGCTTTTACCAAAACAGTTTTTTTCTTCTAAAACATACAGTGGCCACAATTTTATTGTGTACACGATGTGCTTATAGACACATGTGGCCAAATAGATCCAAAGGCCTCCTCTGGCTCAGTAAATTCCCCGTATTTTATAAGCTAGCCTAATCACGTATATGCATAAAAGTCATTGGTGCACTTTTTACAGATATCTTTGTATAACAGTTCAGAAAAAAAAAAAAAAAAAAATCCCTGGTACTTACGAATGCTTAGACAATTTGAGACTTGTGTTTGCTTTCTTTTCTTTGAAGTAGTCCTCCTGATGATTTGGGGGGGGGGGGGGCTTTCTCTATAGGTTTATATTTTTAAAATAGCACATACAATTGTATTTAGCTTTGCTCAGAGTAATATATAAGAAATGGTAAATCGTACATTTTCAAGAAGCTTGAGAGGAAAAAAATTGCAGCATAATGGTTTTTAAAGACTTATTAAACAAGAAAATCAGTTAAACCCAGACTCTTTTTTTGAATGGGCACTGTGAGTGAAAGACGTAATATCAACATTTACTTTATGGTATCTTGGCTTTGCCTTCTTTCCCTTCATAGTTTTCCCCATTGAAGATGGCATTTTAAGCTCAAAAGGGTACAAAAGCTTACGTGTTATTTACATACAAAATACCAAGTACTAGCTATTCTGTAATTTTATACAGAACAAAAGAAAATAACTTTTCTAATCAAATCCCTCATTCAGTTGGTTAAGCCAGACTCCATCACAGCTACAGTTTTATTAACAGCTAAGAGCAGTCCAGGAACATTTGGCAAACAGGCGAATTTCTTACATGGAAAAAACTCAATCAACCACCACCATCCTCTGGTACGAAGAATACAAAACAAAATTTTCTTTTTAAAAAAACCCTCCCAGGGCCGGCCCGTGGCTCACTCGGGAGAGTGCGGTGCTGATAACACCAAGGCCACGGGTTCGGATCCCATATACGGATGGCCGGTTCGCTCACTGGCTGAGCGTGGTGCTGACAACACCAAGTCAAGGGTTAAGATCCCCTTACCGGTCATCTTTTTTAAAAAAAAAAAAAAAAAAAAAAAACCCTCCCAGTGCTGAAGTATCTTCTAGGCTTCCCAGAATATATCTTCTATGCTTTATAAATAATACACCTCTCAGACATGTCAGTATGAAAATGAGTGAGACTAGTCTCAAAAAAAAAAAAAACCCAGAATATTCAGGGAAGCAGGGCTCATAAACTTTAGAGCTCTAATAAGTCAGAAACAGGAAACTTTTATTTAAATAGTGTAGCCTTAATTTCTTTAATATAAAACCCCCCAAATCTGATGAAAACAAAGTTTTATATACCATATAAACAAGATTTGTCAGATTTGAAAGTGAAAGTTAATTTACAATTAGCTTTAGCCCTCTCGGGACAATTAGATAAATCCTGATAATCTACCTGATATTAGTGTGTGTCAATTTTATAATACATTGGGGAAAACTCTGCTATTGTACTTATGGTATGGTTCGTTCACCAAGTGTTTTCCATTAATTCCATTATTAGTGACAGCTAAAAAGTGACCCCACCAAATGAAGTGGGTGACATTAGACTGTGGCAGAGTAAACCACATCTGGATTGCTTTCTGTAATTCACCAGTTTGCAGAAAGTAAACATTCTTTGATTTGTTCATTATATACTGAAATTGCCTATAACACTGTGCAGTAAAAGAGATAGTTCCTCTGTATTGTTATGGTAGGACAGATTTTATAATATAAAGTTAACAGGAAAAAAATGCTCACACATTATGTGGTGAAACTTATTTCACAAAAAGAGCATTAAATAAAGGGGAAAAGGGAAAATAAACCATGCAGAAGAGATGGCTTCCCCATCGCCACCTGTTCTTCCTATGGGCTCACTCACTGCCATACATCACTTGCCACACTATCAAATGACTCCTTTCTGCTCTGGTGACGGAAGGTTCAAGTGGAAGGTCCTCTCCAAGAAGTTCTGATTCTCCACCTTCATCACCTAGAGGATGATAAGGAGACTCGAGTTAGGTTGAGCACAGTAAATACAGAATGATGTGAATCAAACATAGTGCTCAAGGTTAGTCTGTGAACAAGATGCACACAACCTGTCTAATTTCCAATGCAGAGAACACAGTAAAAGAAATATCACGAGTCACATTCTTCACTGTCTGATTTTTGAAAAGGTTAACTCACTTTTCAGACATTTGTAAAAGTGAGTTCACTATACTGTGTTGGAAAGTCATCCCAATATGTCTGCATACTGACATTAACAGAAATGGGAAGCTAAGAAAGGAAAGCCGTCCAATTCTGTGTTCATCCAAAATGGACAGTCTACTCTTATTTACTTGAACTAAGAATTGAGACTAAATATTGCTGTAAATGCACAATCATGGGTATAAAGCACACAAATTAACTAAACCCAAATAACTCCTGCTTATTTTCAGAGATAAGAGTAAAAGTTTCCAATCGAAGATAACTGACACAAAAATATAAAAACTGAAATTGTCTCCCTTCAGCACTATAAGATGGCCTACCTACCACACTGGGTTTTCTTCCAATTTTCAAGTTTAGGGTAAGCTATGAATTAACAGTGTATGGTGAAGATGAAGAAACGAAGAAGTTGGGTAACAGACAGGCTACATACAGGTTCTCTGCGAGCTAGCTGAAAGAATGTGATAAATGAGATCCTGATCAAAGACATGGGCTTCCAAGGCCCAGTGCAGCTACCACACTCCTCCTCACAAGTTCACATTAATTGGCATGGTTGTGGCAGAGCAGGGTTATTTTGGCACAACCCAGTGACAAGATGTCTAGTGGGATGGATTCTTTAGTAGAATCCTAAAAAGGTGTATACCAAGGAACGAAGGCAGTCCACTGATCTACTGGAATTTTGTAATGTGCCCCACCTGAATTTCAGCTGGACAAAAGAAAATATTGATACTGTTGACTAAAAACAGCAGAAAAGAAAAAATTCTAAATATCTACAGTTTTCACTTCAGGCTAAACTCTCCTTTATCCATCCCTTCATGGTCTTTTCACAGCAATGTCAAACTATAGAGATGAGCACACTCAGGACAAAATCCAGTTTCTGAGCTGAAATATAACCAGGTGGTTAGAATGTACAAAAACTAAGTTTGACTCTTAAATTTAAAAACTTACAATGATAATGACAAATTAATTGGCTGAAACAAGAGGTCATTGCATTTGTTTTTTCAGTTGTTTTTTTTAAAGATTCTATTTATAAAAAATTATTCTGTCTCCTTGGGTCTCTATATCCTAAGATTTAAGTTAAATCATTATAAAATGGGACTGTTGAGGTCAATTTCTCATCAATAAAATATTACAGGAAATGGAAAAGAAAATGGAATAAAAAAAGATCAAATTGAATTTTTTAAAAAAGCATATCGTGACTTAAAATTAGCCTATGCTCAAAGATAAGTCTATTTTTCAGGCTGGATTAACCAGAGATACTGCCAAACCTAGTTAAGCAATTTTTATGCTATTTTCAGGATCCACAATGGAAGAAATTTTTAGTAGAAATGGGAAAACCACAGAGAGCTTATTAACATATTCCTTATTATGGTTCCAACTGCCATACTGAACCACAAAAATCACTCCAGCAAAGTGGAGTCTCTACAATTTCTCTCTATGAAGGAATTTTATACCAATAGTCAATTATTTAAAACATTTTGAAATGACTCCATTCCTGCTGACATCACTGGGATCAATTTCTAAACTTAACATTAACACCCCTCCATGCTTCAATTTGTGTCAGTAAGTCTTTTGCATCAGATATTCTGGTTTACACTAATCACCTGTAGCACACTGTCATTTACATGGCCCTAAATTTTATACTATATTTTTACAGAATTCATATCTAAGACAAGTATTTGCCACTGATCTACAACATTATTAGATTCTCTAAAACCATTTAGTGCCATATATTTGGGTGCTTTTTGAATCACTGAGATTTTAGGCCAGTCCAAGAGATCTGTTTACTTACAGCAAATAAATTTATATTTGTACAGTGCTTTACAGTTTATAAAGCACTACTGTTTCACAAGTATCATTTCTCCATACTTTCTTTGTACCTCTCTGGCCATTCCTTTTTAGATCCCTCTGTAAGCTCTAATGACACTTTAAATGAAATACTAATTCAGGGTTCTACTGTAACCTCTTCTTTTTTAGCCCCTACATACTCTCCTTGGGTGAACTCATTAGCCCTCATGGCTTTTAGTACCACTGCATGCAGAAAGCCCCCAGATCCCTCCCTCCTAAAATATAAGACCCTCATACCCAAAAGTCCAGTGGAAATCTTCCACCATGCTCTTCAAAGTCAACATGTCCAACACTGAACTCTGGATCTGCTTCTCCTGTTCTGACAGTCCCCAGCTCTGAGTGAATGGATCAATCCCTCTTTCCCCACATCCCGTTAATAATTAACCACCATGCTTCATTTTTTCCTAACTTATTTCCCTGTCTTTAGCCCTGAACCTCCAATCTTCCACACAAATCTAATCACATTACTCCTTTATTTAAAGTCTTCTAATAGTTCTCCTTTGCTTGAAAGACACAGTGCAATCTCCTTAATTTGGAACAGAAAGACCTCCCATAATTCAGCTCCCCACAACCACCACCTTTCTAGACTAGAAATTTGTACTTTCTTCTCCATGCTCCTGTCATTTTAAAACGGTTTTTCTTCAGTTAAGATGGTTTCAAATCTCTAAACCTTTGGTCAAGCTATTGTCTTACCTTGGAATTGCAATCCTCAGCCCGCCCCAGCCCATTACCCAACTCAATCCTTTACACTAACACTATTCAGTGCTGAGTCACCCCAAGCATCATTTCTTGACTTCCTTCTCTCCCATCCCCTAGAAAGAACTGCCCAATACCCACCAGAACATCTATAACATTTTAATTTATTAACATGTCTCTATCCCTGTACTGTTCTATAATCTATTGGAAGGAGCTTTGTCTGATATATTTCCGTATCTCAAGTTTAAGGCTGACAGGCACATAGTAGATGAGCAATTAATATTTATAAGTTGAAAAAATGAACAAATGAAATCAATTTTGATACAAACAACACTTTATGAAGTATTTTTATTTCTCTATTTTGCAGTTGAGGAAACTGAGGCTCTGGGAGATTGAATGATTTGTTCTAGGCCTTCTGACTCCAAATCTTAGGCTCCTCACATAAAATTCAACATATGTCCATATTCTGCTATTTCTAATGCTTCTTCAAACAAATATATTTCGGTATGAAAATAAATACTAACACCCCCCTCCCAAAAAAAAGAGAAAAAAAATCCTTTCCCAAGTGAAGAATTTAAAGAAGCCCTCTTAGAAATCATTATCAGAGTGGTTGCTTATTTACTGTGTGTAACATACAAGAACACAGGGGAAACCAAGCTCCCAGAAAGAATGACTTACCCATTCGGAAGTCAATGTAGCCCTCTCCTCCACTGATGACAAGCATAGATTTCACGGGCGTCTGGCTGCCAGACTCCTGCGCGGATGGCCCTGCTTTGTCACCTATTAGATCTGTGCCACTACTGCCACTTTGTGGGCTGATGACTTGACCTATTTCACATAGGAACAGAAGTAAATATTAGTAATCACAGATGAGGTTGGGGGAGACTGTTGTTTTTTCTGACTATTTTCTGAGAGTTAAATAAAAAGGTAAGTACATTCTAAAGTACAACTAAAGTACTGGGGATGCTAGAAGGCTCTGTGTAATCAGAAAACATTCATAGGAAAGTTATAAGAGCCCAATTTGAAAATCTAAGTAAAGCAATTTTGTTTGTACCAAAGCAGGAACAGGCCCAATACCCAGTATGAGATATGTGTGACAAGGTGGGACTTAGGTGCCTGCTTCAAACTATTACAATCTACATCTTTTGATCTGAGGGACAGTAGAAAGGTCATTCCTCTGAAAGGGAGTGTAAATATTTCTTTAAGAGACTGAAAAAAGTCTTCCATTTAAGTCTTATGAGTTTACATATTCAAAATTAACATTTAAATTAACTTCAAGTTTATGGCTTTCCTCTGATATTTAAGTACATCTTGCTTTTAATTTAGATTATACACATAAAATCATTGATAAATATGCCTTTTCTTCTAAAACTTAATTAAGTTCTAAGGTAGAATCCTTAGGGATGAAATGGTAGAAAGAGAGAAACAGTTAAATATTATTCACACTATAAACAAGCTCTAAGGCCTCACTCTTAGAAAGCTTTGACTGTGGAATATTTTTTTCCTTGCCAGAATCTGCTGTCCTTTGCTCAAACTACACAGGAGCTAGCAGGACACAGTGATATGATGCAATACACTTAAAAAAATTAGTTAGGTCTGCCACAGGAGCAAGAGAACAGTAGTTGATAATAAAACTAACCAGAATGGTTTAATCCTTAGGGCCAACTGGCCTCACAACAAATAGTAATGTTGTCAATTACACTTTTAGATTTATACCCAACAGAAAAGTCTTGCACATATGCACTAGAAGTTCCACTGCAGTCTTGTTTTCAATGGTAAAAGAGGGAAAAAAAAAAAAAAAAAAAGGAAGAAGAGACCTAGAGGTCCATCATCAATAGGGGAATAAATAAAATGTAGTACATTTGTTCAGATGTGAGAATACAGAGTTAAATGAATGATCTAGATTTTTATGTATAAACATTAATAAATCTCAAAAATTAAGAAGTTGCAGAAGACTGCATATGAAACATAAAAGTTAAGTAAAGTTCAAAACCACAAAAAATATATTATTTATAGATATATTCGAACAGTGAAAATACAAAAACACAGGCAGAAGGATACATGTCAACTTCAAGACAGTGGTTACAGATGGAGAGGAAAGGGAGAAGGAAATGGGATTAGAGAAGAATATAGAGAAGATTCAAAAAGGATTCTGTGGGGCCGACCCCGTGGCTCACTCAGGAGAGTGTGGCGCTGGGAGCGCAGTGGCGCTCCTGCTGCGGGTTCGGATCCTATATAGGGATGGCCGGTGCGCTCACTGGCTGAGCGCGGTGCGGGTGACACCAGTGATCACTAAGGGTTGCAATCCCTTACCGGTCACAAAAAAAAAAAAAAAAAAAAAGGATTCTGTGACATTTCTTTTTTAAAAAGGGCAAGAAAAACAGTTGCCAGCAATTCCATTTCTAGGAATTTATCCTTAGGAAATGACCAAATATATAAAATATACAAATGAGATTTCAGGAAGTGCATTATCATGTTAAGAGTAAGTGAATAATTGGTTAAGGTACTATATGTCAGCCCCTGCCCTGTGTACATTTAATCATTCAATCTTTGGAACACCCCTGGGAAAATGAGTGTAGTGGTTAATTTTATGTGTCAACCTGGCTAGGTTATGTGACCAGATATTTGGTCAAACACCAGTCTAGATATTGTTGTGAAAGTATTTTTTAGATGTGACTAATGTTTAAATCAGCAGACTCTGAATAAAGCAGATTATCTGCTATAATTCTTCTGATCAGTTGAAGGCCTTAAAAGAAAAAGGCTGAGCTCTAGCCACCACCCTCCCACCCCAGGGGAAGGGAAATGTTGCCTCCAGACTGCTTTCAGACTTGAGCAGCAACATCAGCTCTTCCCTGGGTCTCCAGCCTGCTGGCCTGCCCTGCAGATTTCAGACTTGCCAGCCCCCATAATCATGTGGCCAATTCTTTAAAATCTCTCTCTCTCTCCACACACCCCCACCCACCCAACCCTGCTGGTTCTGTTTCTCTGGAGAACCCTAGTACACTGAGACACCACCATTTCTACATCACACAGTTAGTTAATATGACAAAGTCAGATCTGAACCTTGTATATCTCCTGAACTTGTGTCTTACAGGAAAAAAAATACTCAAAACATGGGTCTTGCTTATAGAAGGTCAGCAATATCATTTTAGTATTCTCAACGGACAGAACATTTTTCACTGGACAGCAATACTACCACCTTTTGTCTCACAGTGCTTTATAGTTCCCAATAGCAATTTCACTAACTTTCACAACAAATGAGGCAGGCAGCGCAGATATTAATCACATCCACTTAGAAAACGAAGAAATCAGTCTCAAACGTGACTGCTCAAGGGCAAGCGGCAGAGAGCTCAGACCCCCAGGCTCCTAATCCATTGCTCTTTATCACAACACTGCTAAAGGTACCCATCTCTTCCTGCATGCAGCCCTCATGATGGAAACTTCTTTCTAGTGATTCCCATCATTAGGACAGGACCATTTTGGCATTCTGCTGTAACAAAATAATACCATTGCTTTTCAAAGGTAAGCAAGTCTCTTAAATAAAAATCAAGAAATTTGGTTTTGAGGGTAGGGGAGAGATTCCAGAATAACTTCACTTGAGAATCCCTATAGCACTTTATTCACGCCTCCATTGCAGAACTTCCTTCATGTATTACACTGAAATTACCTAATTCCAGTACTTCACACCAGACTAGGTAGTGGAACCAAGGTATGGCAGAAGAGAGACAATTCGAACACCTCAACAGAATAATCTAGCTCACCTGGGACTGCCACAAAGAATTTCACAGCATCCCGGTGCCCATGGAAGCAAAGCTGTGCATGTGCCATTGAACAGTAGGGTATAAATGTCCCTGGAGTCACTTTATCGCTGTTTTCATCACCATATACACGGATTACACTTCCCGGACGATTTCCTGGTGCTCCTGAGGTTTTATTTGCTGCAACAGAAAAACCAAATATCAAATATTTTCCCCTAGAAAACAGTGATGATGTAACACGTTACTGATTAATCCTTATGATATTATGTAAAAGCTACAGCCAGTTGAGATAAAACAAGGGCAGCAATGCCAATTCAAGACAAAGCTGGAAAAAAAAGAGATATAGCATGCTAGTTATTTTTAAGTACCTCAGTAAATGGAGTAGGGGATTTTGCCAGTCTAGCAATAACTAAGCTTACTCTTTAAACACATGTATTGATTTTTTAAAAATCATTTTAGTTAATAAAAAAGAATAGAGTTGAATCTTAGATGTGTCTGTTTTGTTTTTTAATCCCCATTTTAGAAAACTAACCATTATAAAGTCTAAAGTAGATAGATATATTTTTAAATAAAATCTTTCTTTATAGTTTATCTTCTGATTTTTCTCCCCGATGATAAGTATATTTCCCTTGGGGAGGGTAAAAAGCTGTGCTTAAAAGAATACAGCCACTGCAACAGGGTAGCTTTTATTTACACCAGACCGATGGTTTGCTGGATTACTGTAGAATGACCAGACTCACAAAACATCCCCGTTCCATGGGCGAGTAAGTGAATGATGGAAACATGATTGGTAACAAGAGTAAACAATGTAGATTAATGACAGTTTTAAGAGATGTTTCATGTTTTTATTGGAAGGAAAAGAAAGACTGAAAGAAAGTTCAGCTGCAACAAAAGATGATAAATAGATCAAGCTGCGTTTGGTGGCCATGTAACAAACATTTAAAAAAAAACAAAAACCTGCCGCAATGCAGTGACTGCAAGTGGATGACATTTAGGAACATTCAAAAATTATTCTAGAGAAGTGGGAACAGCCTCACAGTGGCTGTTAGAAGCCAGGAAGAAGGGTTTGGTTCAGGATCTGCACTTACCCCTCAGCCCCAGTAAACGTCCCTGGTGGAGGATTACGGCTAAAGTGAGAAAGGAGGAAAGGGGATATGGAGAGGTGCATGACAGGGAGGAGAAGAATTACTGTGAGCCACCACTCTCAGCGTCCTCTAACCTGGCACTCAAAGCTCCTACAAAATTAACAAAATCCCACTTGGCATAATACCAAGTAACACAAAGTTCTTAACCAAGGCCTCTATAAGAATATCTCTGCCCAAAAACGACAATTTGATTTACTGTGATTTTGGTTTTCTTAATTGGAAAGCAATTTTAGTGAATCTGAATCAAAATACCAAGTATTTAAGGTGAACCATTTTCTTTTTTTTTTTTTAAAGATGACTGGTAAGGGGATCTTAACCCTTGACTTGGTGTTGTCAGCACCACGCTCTCCCAAGTGAGCTAATCGGCCATCCCTATATAGGGATCCAAACCCGTGGCCTTGGTGTTATCAGCACCACTCTCCCAAGTGAGCCATGGGCTGGCCCAAGGTGAACCATTTTCTAAATGTTAAAATTTCCCCTCTATTTTTCTTTGTATGTTTTTTTTTTTTTTTAAATCCTGTTCAAATAACTATGCTGAAATGGAACTCTTTCTGGTAAAGGAATTGAAATGAACTCTGGGGATGCTGGAATCTCTTAGGATATAGGAAGTGGTCTAAACATGTAGATTTGTAAGTAATTGCAGAAAAGACAGTTGGGATTAAGAACTTGGGTTCTTTAAAGGTTCCAAACACACCTTCTAGTCCTTCTCCCTCCCTTTCTCCTGAAAAAAGGTAGGGTGATTCTGAGGTGTGTATTTACTAACTTATTTTATGGACTTATGGCATTTATTTTCAAAGCATTCCCTGCCCATGAATTTTGCAACACAAAAAAAAACTTAATGGATGATCAATGTAATGGAAGATCATATGAGAAACATACAATGTACATCTTGTTCAAAAAAAAAATAAACCATATTTTTTTCAAATAGAGAGATGGATGGATTATGTCCAGCATAAGGAAAGGCTTGCTGACCTTCTGAGAAACTTCTCCTGCAACGTTTTTAAACCTCAGCTAGGACAAATGCAATATCCTAAACTATCTGCAAGGGAGATATGAAAAACTAGGGAGTGCTTCTGGATACTGGTGTAATAAAGTAGAAGAAAAATAGACTTCAACCTTTATTTCAAAGATGAAATAGGACTGTGAGTCCTGAATTGAGAAAAAGAGCTTCTCACAATGAAAAACTTTTAATTACAATATTCGTCCTGATACATGGAAACTGTTATTCTCTAGAATTTATGTTTCATAGGAAGAGTGGAGGAACAGTAGTAGCTTTGTCTTTGCCATCAGCTTGATTTTCTCAGTTACCACAGATTTGCTAATATCTAAACACTTCCTTCTACCTGAATTCTGGTCATAACTATTTCCTGCAACTTTCCTATTAGCCCTGTGACAGTTACATAAAAATATACTTACTTTCTGTCAATGGGATGGAGATAATGACACCATTTCCTGTCCCCACCCACAAACGATTGCAAGACACCATAAGAGCTGTGATCCTCACAAAAGAGAAGCCCAGTTTTCCAGTACCTGTATGGGAGGGAGGGGGGAACATTTTATTGAGAAACTAAAGCACATGGTATTTTAGATTCCAAGTCCCTTAGAGTAGCTGGATTAATATAACAGAGAGGAAATGTGACCAGAGCTAGATGGATGTTTCCTGAAGGTGCACTTCAAATCTAATAATTCAGGGTTAATGGAAAAAGAAAATCCTAAAAGTGGCCAGCATTACATTATCAGTCAGAAGGAAGGTACACAGGAAATAAGTACATCAGAAAATGATACAGGATTTAAGTAAGGAGTGGCAAAATCAAACACAAACACAAAACAAAACAAAAAATTTCAGCAAAAGACAAAGTTTACTTGTTTGGGAAATCAAATGTCCTTTGATTTTGTAAGTGGAGAAAGTCTGCTTTGCTTTTCATTTCTTTATACAGATAAAAACCAATCTTTGCTAACAAAACCTATACTTTTTACTCATTTATATATTTAGGTTCTAAAGCAATTTAAAAATTTTATGATATCACACATAAACAATTTAGGGCAAATGGATGCATTTTTGCATTTCAAGAGAATTTTTACAACAGATCTTTCAGGGATTTGAGAGGCAAAATGATTAAACAGTAATAGATGTAAGACAAGAGCATTAATCACTTGTAAGTTCTACTTACAAGAATTGAGGGCATGATCACAGAATCACAGTGTTAAAGCCTTCACTATCATTCAGTCTAAGCTAGGAATCTTTAACCTACAGCTATACAGTATATCTCTGAAATTAATTTGTGTGTGTGTGCTCACATGCATGACTGTATATAGCTATTGGTACATTCTCTGAGAACAGTGATCCTAAAAAGGTTAAAAACCACCGATCCAGTTCAACTTGTCTTCATTAAAGGAATCCTTTATGACATCTCTAATAGTCATATAGCACTAGATTAGGTGCTAACAGTACAGCAAGGAAACAAGACAGAGATGGTCCCAGCCCTTCACGGGGCTAATGGTCTTGGGGGGGAGATAGTAAACAAGAATCACATGATACCTGCACAATCACAGTAATGATAACCCCATGAAGAAAAAGTACGAGAGGACCTAAATGAAGATCTCTCCTGGATATGACATATAGGCTATGACCTGAAAGCTAAGTAAAAAAGGACCAAGAAGAACTTCCCAGGCAGAGGATATGGCACAGGTGAGGGCCCCTAAATGGGAAGCAATTGGTTGAGTTGTGGGTCAGTGTGGGCAGAAGAGAGTGAGCAAGGAGAGTGGTCCAGACCATGTAAGGTCTCTTGGTCATGGGACAAAATGTCACTTCACATAAAGGCAAGAGTGGAAATGTGTCAAGGTAATATCTGTACACTGGTTACTATGCAAAGAACAGACTGGAATGGAAACAGGTAGACCAGTTAGGAGGCTCATGGTTATCTGGGGGAAAGGATGGTAGCCTGGTCTACGGGGATAGTGGTAGAGATTAAGAAGATATTTAAGATATTTAAGATTTAAGATATTTTCAGAGGCAGACTTGACAGTTACTAGTGATGGATTAGATATGGGGAATAAGACAGAAGGAGTCAAAAATGATCCCAAGTTTCTGTCAAGAACCATGAGGTCAACTGCAGCATCTGCCTGACACTTTCAGTGATAACAGTTCACTCTTCCTGAGACAACTTATACATTGGTTCTATCCAGCATTTTTTGACAATTTAAAAATAAAACATTCTTTGATTTGCAAAGATAAAACACTTTGGAAGCTTACCTAACATTTTGCTCACATAAGGCTCAATGTCCACATCCTGTAGATGCTGATAAGTGTGTGCATGATAGAGACGGAGTGTGGAATCCAAACGAATAGAGACCCACACACCATCACCCACCCACGCAAGCTGCCGCACTTGGCTCTCCTTCCTGGGGTGTGCATCAAATGATTTCTAGGAGAGATTGTCCAATCACAAAGTTACTTTTGTACATAGGAGGTCATGTTTAAAAACTGTGCTAACCTGCACAACTACTTAGCAGGCTGTATATTAAAAGAGGAGCCTAAATGTTGTTTACTAAATATGATTATTCTTCTATACACAACTGCTTTCATTCTAGAATGCAAGCCAAACCGAAGAACACGGAACTAAAGGATGCTGGACTTTAGCACTGTACAGAATATCAACTTATGAAAGCAATACTGGCACATCCATACTATATGTACCAGTGTTCAACAGAAAGATTTTGTTCTTGGGATTTTGTGTTGTTGCAGAGCAATGCATGAAGATCCTATTTATAATTAAACAAAAAGGAACCCACATTGCTGCATTATGTGTGTGTACAGGGTATTTCAAAAAGTACATGGAAAGATTTGTATTATCTTTTAATTCTATTTTTCCATGAACTTTTTGAAGTACCCTGATATCTATCTATATATATATCTGGATATAAGGAATAGATATGAAAAATAACACCAAATGGTTAACTTTGGAACATCTAGGGAAGGGAATGGGATAAAAAGCCACTTCCTACCCTCACAGTCAAAAGTGGCAAGAGAAAAGTAACACAGAAAGTTAAGACATCCAAATATATTGTTGAAGTGCCCTAAAACACACAGTGTCGGAAAACAATCTCTAAAGAAGCTGAAAATAATTATAGTCTTATAGCCTTTGGGTAATAAAAATTCAGTAAGTACAGAAAACATAGGCTAACTTGCCTCTATTTTCATGGCCTTTGGCTGAACCACATAGATTTTGTTTCTATAGCCACACCAGACTTTGTCATGTACCACAGTCATGCATCGGATGGAATGGTGAGGCCGTCCAAGGTCTAAGAGGTGATAGTTTGACAAGTCCCACTGCCCGTCTTTAAAATAAGAAATAGATTATAATTAATGCATACCACCTTTTACTCAATTTCAACACAAGAAACATTATATTCAGGGGTATAATTAAATTTATTGATAAAGCACACAAAGTACTATGTAGTAAGTAAATCTTTTATTTGCAGAGACTGGGTTCTCTTATTCTACAAATGTAAAGTTGGAAGAGACCTCAAAGGTCATCTGATCCAACCTGCTACCCAGTAAGTACCTGGACCCTCTTTAAAACTTGCTCTCAAAAGCAGTGATGTGAAAAGTCAGTTACAAGTTATCTGTTTATAATAATTTTAGAATTAGAATAGAAATTCAGATGAGAACCAACCACCTGAAGCTTGTTTTGCTTTGCTAGCTTTGCTTGAACAATTTCAGTGAAAGAAAATATATCGCTGCAGCTGTTCCACTTTCAGACTGCTATAATTAAAAAATATTCCCCATACCTAGTTAAGGTCTGCCTCCTTGTATGTAATCATTGATTGGTCTACAGTTCTACCCAGTGGAAACAAAGAATAAATCCAGTCCATATTTCTTTGTTACAGCTCTATGTTTTATTTCAAAACCAAGCATCCTTGGAATGTTTTTTATACCCATCACAGTTTACAGACCCTTCACTCTACCTCCTCTTTGTTGATGTCCATTGAATATGCTGTCTGTCTGGCAGAGTACAGCAGGATTATCACCAGCCCTGTTCTGAACACTTTATTTCTATGAGGTTTAAGGCCTTAACTAATTCATATTGAGTTCATAGTCAATCTTTAAGAAATTCTCACTCTTCAGGCATGTCTCTCATATCTTGCTCTTCTGAACCCAAATGCAGAATTTTACTTCAATCCTTACTAAATGTATTTTGTCTGTCTTGTTCTGTCAATATAACTTTGGATTTAGTTTACTAAAACATTTATCATTCCATTTTTTTCTAGGTTCTTCCACCTACTAGCTGAGTGAACAAGAACAACTAAAAAAAAAAAAAAGCTTCCATGCCTCAGTTTCCCCATTTATAAAATGAGGGTGACAACAGAACCTTCCTCATAAATTGCTTTGCAGATTAAACATAGATAAAGTCTGTAAAGGGACTCAACAAGGTAGAACAGAGCCCTCTCACTCTTTGACAATGTGGAGTCTTAACCAGCAATCTCTAGGTACTAATCAGTTACAAAAGCACCTAAGTAACATCTACCCCACATTTCTCCAAGCCTAAAAGGATATAAGACTTTGGGAAAATCCTTGCTAAAAACCAAATTCAGTGTATCTCTGTTTTCATAATATTTCCCTTATCTACTTACCAATCTAGTGGGTAGAAAATGAAATGTCATTTTTTGGTTGAAACATGTACCAAGGCATTATGAAGAGACACACACTAAATTCCCTTAATTTAATTCACTCAATGTAGGCTTTCTCATACCACCACCCCTTCATCTGTAGATGGTAGAAACAATGGTTTTAAAGGGGAAGACTATAAATAACATGACAAAAATAAACTGGTGTTACCCAATAAGAAATTCTTTTTTTTTTTTCCTTTTTGTCTCTTTTTTTGTGACCAGCAACGGATCGCAACCCTCAGTGTCGCACCCGTACCGGACCGGGACTGGCAACGGGATCGCAACCCTTGGTGTTGCCCCCGCACCTCGCTCAGCCAGTGAGCGGCTGGTCTGTATGTGGGATCCGAACCCTCGGCGGGAGCGCCGCTGCGCTTCCCAAGCGGCGCACTGTAGCAGTCCGCCACTGGGCCGGCCCCCCAATAAGAAATTCTTTTAAAAAACTTTCCAAATGTAAGTGGATGTCAGTTATTTTTAAAACAGGACAAAAGAAAAAAATATCCTCACCAAATTTCTCCTAATTGAATAAATATATGAATAAAAAACAAATGCCTCCATATCACATTATACAAGATGCCAAAAAAACCATTAAACTACTTGTTTATTATGATGAATATATTTTTCCTGAGGTATACTGTTAATGTATACCTCCACACAAGCACTCATATATTTTCTGATGTTGCACATTGCTAGCATTCAGTTTAAACCTTTATTCTTTCTCCTATTATCATTTCTTTAAAACATAACAAGCTGATCTGCTTGAAAATGCTTTGCCAAATGACAAATTAGTGCACACGTTACATATTCATAACCACTCACCAACTCCTCTGTGAAAGATTGCAAGGGTACCATCAGCCAGGGCCACTAACACAATGCCTTTTACGTGTCTGCAAACAGGAAAAGGGATTTCAGAACTCTCCATTCCAGAATACAGAACGGACCACATGCTACTTAGTTCACAGCCTCTCAACGGGCTCATGTGTGATGAGATGAGGAGCTTATACCAGAACATGTAAATGAACCCATTGCTCTCTTTGATATGAATGTTTTGCTATGAAAACTGTCTGCTGAACTAAATATAAACAGCATGTGCGGTATCTCAGTTGTTACACTTTCTGGCCCAAGCTCCTCCTCTCACCGCAGTCGACACAAACTCCACAGATCACACGATACACACCTTAAGTGGAACTAACCACTCAACACTTTGAGTGGTTCCACACCTTGAGTGGAACTAATCACAGTGCTGGGAGTCAGCACTGTGGACTTAAAAGACACACTGTCTGATTTCTGATAACCAACATATAGAAAAGAACTAGTAAATCAATGCTCCAAACAACAGATTCACAAACTATAAAGAATAGTCTAAAACAAATATAAATTAATAGGTATTGGTTCTCTCCCTGAAGTCCTACAAACACACAGTAAGGTGAGAAATCAACATGGCATGTTTTCTCTTCTACTTAAAGCCTTTTATTTTACTTTCTATTACAGAGTTTTATTCTCACTCAACTTCTCTAGTTCCATAAAAATGGTTCCATTAAAAAAAAAAAAAACTGGACACTGACTTAGTCATGAAATATACATTAACTTTAATAGTCTTCAAGTCTACCAAAATACATAGTTTTAAAAGGAAGAATTTCAAAAATAAAACTTACACAATACTGAGAATCGAATCTTTAAGTTTGATGGAATGGAGACATTTCCTCCACTGGGCTACAGATGAATGGACATACAAACTGCAAGAACAAAGTCAAGACTGGTAAGCCATAGACAACATCAAGTCATTGCCTAAATCTAATAATGACTACAAAGTTCATTCAGGAGGAAAGAAGAGTAACATAAATTTCAGGAAAGGGTGCTGCTGCTTTTGTACAACGGTTAGAAAACAAAAATGAGAGTAAGGGTAGGTCTAAGGCAGAGAAATAGGCTGCTTAAGCAAACAAAAACATATGAAGACTGAAAAGCCACAACTAATATAATGCAGTCAGTTAGCCTCAGGCTACTGCACTCTTTAGAAAACTTGGCTAAAACCCTTAATTTTTTGAGTTACCTTCTCTACTACGCTGAGCTATATAACTTTTGGATGACACAGTGGTTCACATCAGGGAGTGGCAAACTATGGCCTGCAGACCAAATCCAGCCTGTTACTGTTTTAGCACAGCCTGTAAGCCAAGCATAGTTTTTACATTTTTAAATGGTTGGGGGAAAAATCAAAAGAAGAGTATTTTGTGACATGTGAGATTTATATGAAATTCAAATTTCAAATTATTGGACCAAACCATATAATGTTAGTTATTATCCTCTGAGCTTTCAGATGGTGATTTATTCTAGTAAGTCTACTAAAATGTTATGTTTGGGATCGGGCCTTCCTATAGCCAAACATATTAGTTTAATCCCTGGTATTTCCTGCCAACACATAGCCTATATAAACCTTCTATACATCAATAATTCCCTAGGGCTGGCTGCTTAGCTCAGGTTCTTCGAGCGCAGCCTTATAACACGAAGGTCATGGGTTTGGATGCCTGTACCAGCCAGCCACCAAAAAAAAAAAAAAAAATTCTCTGTCTCTTCTGTTCAGGACCTTCTATTTCTGGAACACACAGATTTTAAAATCTTATTTACCTCTTCTTCTAAGAATATTACACAAAGGGAACATTCTGTGGCAAAGAAACAATACGGTTTACCATTTAGAACCAATGCAAGTCCAGTTTATGAGGTAGTTAGAACATATTTTTGTGTGTATAAAATTCCAATTGTGTGTATATAAAATTCTTCACATTAATACACAGTTTGTATTTACCACATTTTATTTATCTTCTGATTTGAAAAACAAAAGTAAAAGACTAAAGTTATTCTAACATTGAAAGTGTTGGCACTCACCAGCCATTTTGAGCTCCAAGCCACATAGTCGGTAAAAGACTACTCATTTTCTGGGCTTCTTCTCTCACCAGGTCTTGTTCATTTGGCAATACTGATATTTGATCTTTATATGCATCTGAGTCATTACTGGGAAGGTGGGGCAAAAGGAAAATAATCTGAGTATGCTTAGCTATAGTTTTCACGGACTGAACATTTCTACATTTAAGTTTATAGTTAAAAAAAAGACACTAACGTTCAAGAAAAGCCAAAGTTAAATGCTTACATGAACTATTTCAACCATGAACTATTTCAACAATTGTACCAATGATAACATTAACAAACTAGGAGGCCCAAGGTGCAGATAAGGGAGTAGGACGTGGTAATGAAACAAAGCAGTTAATTCCCAGACTACAATTGTGGCTCTCTTTTAAAGGTATTTTGAATTTTATGATTGTTTCTTCTCATGGGGAGATAGGAGGGAGAGATGGTTTGTTATAAACCCCTCCCCCCCAACACATACATAAGGGTGATATATAAAGGATTCCTTTTTTTCCTTTTCTTTTCTTTCTTTTAAAAAGATGACTGGTAAGGGGATCTTAACCTTTGACTTGGTGTTGTCAGCACCACACTCTCCGAAGTGAGCAAACCAGCCATCCCTATATGAGATCCAAACCCAGGGCCTCACACTCTCCTGAGTGAGCCACGGGCCAGCCCTATAAAGGATTTTCTAAAACAAATTAATAAACCAAAATATGTTCACATTCTATCACAAAACCTTTTTGGATCATCAGGGCTCATTTGATAAAATATATATAACTGGGTTATCAAATTCATAGCATGATTTTATTCTTAAATTAAAACTTAAATGCCAGTAGACTCTTGGTTGCTTTATACACTAAGAAGTAGAATATTAAACTGTAAAAAAGATCCAGTTTAGAGAGATCCCCATCTTGAGGGCAGGAAAGAAAATGAAAGAATTCACTAAATGGGTCTAGATTAGCCAACCCTTTAAAGGAAGAATCTAAAACAAATTGTTTTCTAATGAAATGTTTTCATGAAAACTGAATTCAAAAAGGACATTCAAGCTCACATGGGAAACTCAAACAATGACAAATTTAAACAATGGCCAATTTTGCTGATAACTGGAGTGGGAGCGAGAGTAGGGGTAGGGATTAAAACAGCAAAGAGTTGTTAATAGAATGGAGACAGTGAGTAAAGCAATTTTAAAAAAATCACTCTAGAGGAGAGAATGACCAGGAAGATTTTGACTAATATATTTTATAGACAGTATTTTTTTTTTTTAAGTTGGAAGGAGTAGAGAAGAGATGGTGGGGAAAAAATATCCAGAGAGACTGAAGGGGAGGGAATAGATGAAGACAGTGGAAATAGGAAACAACATCTTTTAGTTCCCCACAATGATGCAAATTAGTGGGAATATTTTAGCTGGTTGAAATTATTTTGGTTCCTTTTTTATTTGTGTACTTAACCCAGTTTCCTAAGTTGCCGATGTACTAGTGGTAGTATACCTTGACTGATATACTGGGGAGAGGTCTTCTGGGATCTGAACTCCCAAAGGATCTGTAAAGACATGCTCTGTGTACACGCCTGTTTGGGAGATATCCACGGTGTCTTCGGCTGACCCTGCATTGCCTTCTGTGGCTTCAGTTGCTTCTTCTGCTGTTGGAACATTTTCATCAACCTCACTATTTTCTGCTTCCATTTCTAAAAAATAAGTAAAACACCCTAACTAGTCCAAGTCTGAGCTCTCCCCCTCCAATAATTTCCCCACACAAACCCGTGCTATAGAATTCCACTCCACCTACCCCCTCCTTCACACTGTATCATGAAATTGAGAATTCCTGATTATACGTTTAACAGTCATTACAGCATCTTCTTTCAAGTTCTTTCATCCTTTTTACTTTAAGATCTAAATTAAGTCCCAAATGAGGCATCTGGGGCGACCTCAGACTCTATACAGATGACATGTAAGGAGAACAGATATACCTGGTGGTTTTTCTATCACTGGAGAAGCACCATTGGTACTAGGAGAAGTGGCAGCTCCTGTCACACCTTCTGTGGAACAACCAACCACTGTGATGCCTCCCAATAGGCTGTCTGTCTCTGCTGAACTATTGCTTGTCATGCTTCCACATAAAGAAGCTTTGTCTACCTGACCAGATTCTGAAAGTTCTTCTCCTGCAGGGTAGTCTGTTTCTCGTGCTCCTGAAAAATATAATAAATGTTCTTTTAACAGCTAAGTCAACTCCTATAAATAGTACTTTTTTTCCATTAAAGAAACTCTAGGTTTGAAATAAGTGTGTCGGTGAGACTAATGGCTACTTGAATACAATGCCAGGATGGTTGCATTAAATTTATTTAAACTAGGGGGCTGGCTGATTAGCTCAGTTGATAGAGCACAGTGTTCAGATCCCCAGACTGGCCAGCTGCCCATCCCCCCGAAATTATTTAAACAAATCTTCACAAAATGGGAATGTGACCCTAAAAAATTAAGATAATACTTTTATTAATGCAAGTGTAAACAAACAACATGAAAATGTTAGAAATGACACTTCTGTTCTTAATGAGCTCCTCAGCAGCCACATGAGGTTAAAAATGATCTAATTATATCTGACAAGTTAGCAAAACAAATTGTTTTTAAATTATCTATTTGAAATATGTTTCTATCCACTACTGTTTAAAATTAATTGCCATAAGTATATATAGTGCCTTAAGAGATTAGTAAGACACTGAAAAACTGATTTACAATATAAAGATAACTCTCTTCAGTTTTTTTATTTAGAAAATTGCTTTTATTCATATCACTTAAAAATTTTTATTATAGTAAAATAAATATATAACATAAATTTTCCATTTTAATCATTTTAAAGTGTACAGTTCAGTGGCATTAATTACATTCACAATGTTGTGTAGCCATGATCACTATTTCTAAAACTTTTCCATCATCCCACACAGACACAATGTACCCATTAAACAATAACTCCCCATCCCCCACTCCCTTGCCCTACCCCTGGTAACCTCTAATTTACTTCTGTCTCTGAGTTTGCCTAATATAGATATTTCATATAAGTGGAATCATATAATATTTTGTGCCTGGCTTATTTCACTTAGCATAACATTTGCAAGGTTCATCCATGTTATAGCATGTGTCAGAACTTCTAGTTATAGTCAACAAAAATATTTTGTACAGTTAAAAATTTGTTAAGAGGATAGGGCTGGCTGGTTAGCTCACTTGGGAGAGCACGGTGCTGATAAACACCAAGGTCAAGGGTTTGGATCCCCATACTTGCCAGCCACCAAAAAAAAAAAAAAAAAATCGTTAAGAGGATAAATCTCATACTAAGTTTCTTCCCACAATAAAAAAATAAAATATTTAAAAAGAACTTCATTCCTTTTTATGGCTGAATAATATTCCATTTGTGTGGCTATGTCATGAACCTCTTTAATTTTTAAACTGTTTTAATACCATAAAAAATTTAATTCAGAACTTTAGAAAACCTTCCCTTATTAATCAATCTAAACATTCTCTTGCCCTCTGCCTTCTCACTTATTTTCCCATATTACCATTATTTTATTTTCTTCATAATATTTTTTACTATCTAAAAACATCTTCATTCAGGGCTGGCCTATTAGCTCACTTAGGAGAGCATGGTGTTGGTAAAAATATCTTTATTCAACGGTTTCCAATTTATTTTCAATCTCCCCTAACTAGAACACAGACTCCATTAGTGCAAGGTACACAATTACATCTACAGAAGCCAAATCAGTTCCTGCCACATAAGAGGTGTAGATGGTGGGAAGAAAGGGAAGGGATGGAGAGAAGCTTACTCTTACCTGGTACAGTTGCAATGCACAGAACATGAGAGTTGCAAACAGTGAAACTATCTAGGATGTTGCCTGGTTGAACAGCATCAATGATGATGACTTTTGTAGCTGAATGAGTGCTAGTACAGATCCAGACTAGACTGGATAATTCTTCTTGATTCTTTAACTCCTTCTGCTGTTCCTATGTAGGCAAAGTAAGGAAAATGAATGTTTTAAACAATATGTGTGTGCAAATATTTGTAATGCTGTGCTATTACAATAAAAGGCAATACTATTTAAAATTTATTTCTAGATTATTTGGAAGGGTAAAATTCAACCTCCTATGAATATTAATTAATAAATTAAAAACTAGCAGTTAAAGCAGATTGGTGATAAAAATGCTTTGTATCTTGGTTGTGGTGGTGGTTACATAAGTGTATACATTTGTCAAAATTCTTTGAAGTATCTGCACTGCAAAAAAACTTCTCACAGACTACAGATAAATTATACCTCAATAAAACTGATTTAAAAGGGGAGGGCTGGGTAAGGAAGGGCATAGTAATCCCAATTAGAAGTTGAACCCAGTAGTAAATTTTGGATAATAGTTTCATAAACCAGGAGGTCAAATGTTAGTACACGTACTCACCTTAAGTTCCTGATCTAACTTATCTAAACTACTCTGAGATGCACTTCGCTGTTTACTGCCTTCTGTATCCAAGCCAGCAACATCCTTGTAAAATACACTTGCTCCAACAACAGAACCACCATCTCTGGTCTTCCCACCAGATAAATTGACTCCAACAGCACACCACAGCTTCTCAAATGAAAAGGAAAAAAAAAAGGAAAAAGTATTAAGTCACCCTCTCTAGGGATGTTTAGAATTTTTTCATGTTTTCTTCAACTAGCTAATGATAGTAAATATGAGAGTACTTCAAAAAGTTTATGAAAACATTTATATTGTTTTAATTCTATTTTTCCACAAACTTTTTGAAATACCCTCATATAGGTCTTTAATATAATCTAAAACTACAATATGAACAATAACCTCACCACAGAAATAGTATATAAACTTTTTTTGATTTTAGGACAAAAAGAATCTACCCAGTGTACAGAAAATATCTCCTTTAGCTGCACAATTAACTTACCTTCATTGATGCATCTTTCTCATCTAGAGGTCTGAGATAGACAGGAACAGGTAAGTTTTTCATCTTATTTTCCCCTTGACCATTGGTTACCTAATAATGCAGAGGGGTGGGTTGGGGGAGAGACACACTGGTAAGCCCAATCAAAAGTGAACTTCTTACAGAACCACTGAGACATGGGCAAGCACTGCTGCTGCATATTTACTCCTTGAAATCAAGTTCGAGTTGATTTTATCATGCTTATTTGAAAGATAAGCAGAAAATCAAGAAGCAATTAGAGAAAATAAGATACCACAGGAACTCAGTAGAGAGGTACTAATTCATACTTATGCATGCATGTGCACACAAGTCTATGTGTACATGAATGTACTGAGTCTTTTGGGGTAGAAAATATGGAGTAGATAGGTAAAGTTCCCAAAGACCTAAGCTAAGTTTTAAGTGAACAGTTTGAAAGGTTGCATGCCAGTGGTGTTTTAAAAACTTTTAAACAATTTATGTTGTTTTTTAAAAAATGAAATCTTCACATGGTGCTGATAACACCAAGGTCCAGAGTTCAATCCCTGTACTGGCCAGCAGCAAAAAACAAAACAAAACCAAACTTCAAATATTAAAACAGAGCTGTTTTGGTTAAAGCAGAGCAGGGTACCTCAAGTTCCACATAGTTGGCCACCCCAGCGACCCCACACCTTCTCACAGACTCAGGAATTTCATTTGAGTTTCAGGGCTCTAGAAAACAGCCTAAAAACCACCACCCTCAGCACTTCTCTAATTGTGTGCCAAGTCCATGCAGCTGGAAATGAGCAGGTTTAAGATACGTATTTCAATTCCTTCATGCCCAAGCATACTTCTCTCACCCTTTCCCATCAGATGCTCTTACCATGTTCATACATTACCTGTTTGTACTTCTGAGGCAGACTCCAGCCAAAAGCCTGCACTCTACCATCTTCCTTCTGAACATGTGCTTTTACCTGACGATACTGTTCTCTCTTCTGTTCCCTTCGTGAGGCTAAACTAGCTTCAGTTCTAAAAAAAAAAAAAAAAAAAAAAGAGATTTCCTTTTTTAACTACATGACTATTAGAACAGCTTTATCTCCCCTCTCTCTTACTAAAATAGCAAAAACAACAACAAAAAATTACATGATTTCAAATTAGTATTCAGACTACAACAGCTCTTTAAAAAGCATTATACTGAAGCTGATCTTTTTAAGGGTGTGCAGTGAAAACAGCATCCACTCTTTAACAAATAGCAAGCAGCCTGTTATATTACACTGAATCATCAGTCATCAAATTTCTATCAGGTTTTAGAAGTTGGCCATATGAAAGGGAAAAATTCTTAAGTATTTTTTTTTTTTTTGTCTTTTTTCATGTCCGGCAACGGATCGCAACCCTCAGTGTCGCGCCCGTACCGGACCGGGACCGGCAACAGGATCGCAACCCTCGGTGTCGCACCCGCACCTCGCTCAGCCAGTGAGCGGGAACCGGTCTGTATGTGGGATCCGAACCCTCGGCGGGA